TGTACTCACCCACGCAATGGGAGGTAAAACCACACCCACCTAATTAGACCACTGGTGATCGTGAATATCGTTAACCTACAGCTCTGTAAAGATCTCGTCAGATTCCTGAGAGCCATTGGTAACAACATCCAAAATTTTCTTCGGAAAACTTTAGATCCTAAAAATTTCCAGGTCCAGGGGACATGTTGGATTCAGTGACTCGGGACTCGGCAACTCCGGTCTCCGCCCACTTTCCGAAGACGCCACGGGCACCGCCCACCCCACCCTCGACGGGGACGACCCCCTCGTTACCGGGGCCTGATTTGGATCGTTCGGCGATCTCCATGGCGCAGGATCACCTGACTTCAGGCAGCACCTCAAGCACCGTCAGTCTGAGCGGAGACTATAGGGATGCCTCGGGGAAAGTCATTCGCAGGTATATAACACAATATATGTAGTATTGGGCAGAACCAAGTGTCCCTATGTATTAGTATGGGGCAGAACCAAGTGAGAGGTGTCCCTATGTATATCTTTACTACCTATACTATATTCTCTGTGGCAGGCCCCAGTTTGTCCTGGACATGGAGTCAAAGGAGGAGTATTTCATTGAGCTGATTCTCAGCCGCCATGCTCGGAAACTGCTGACTGCCACTTGCCTGAGAGATCTGGGGAAATTCGCAGCTCACCTCGACTTTAGCCTTGAGAAATGGCTGGCCAGAGAGAGGTGGGGGTTAATGTATTAATTAAAACCCTGCACTGGTTTTATTAACTCTCTGTTCACTGGTGTTATTAACCCTCAATGTGAAAATCATTTTTTGTATGTGCTGATTGTTTCCTGTAGAGGCATTCCCTTTACATATTGCCCCCCTCCTCTTGCAGGTTGCGGGCAGCTCGAATTGATAATCTCCTAGCAACAGTGAGACAGCTTCACAAAGAGTTCCAGTGGCCCCTCCCACCCAGCGGTGGGTTACTGTATTCAGTCATCATCCTGGATCACTCACTGTCTCGCTGTAGATTCCAAGCCAACTCCCACCCCAGTCCCCCCAGCTGAGCTGCACTCTCGACCAGCATGGCCGGCTCTCTCTCGCTCCTCCTCCACCGAGGGAGGGGATTCCCCAAACAACAAGCAGGCATTCAGTCCTGATAGTGACACGGCGAGTGTGTGTTCCTCGCTCAGGCGACCTCATCGACCTCCGGACCTTGACCTGAGCTCGTTAAACCTGACCCCAATAAGCCATCAGGACATTACGATTCACACCTCATCACACCCTCCCCCACCTCTTCCAGACGACAAGAAAGGGGCGGAGCTTACGGAACAACCTCCATCCACAACGGACGTCAACGAGGCGACAAACCGGAAGGGGAGAGAAGTGAGTGTGTTGTCGTCGGCGACGGACCTTGACCCCACCCGGAGTTCGACTCCACTCACAGCGAAGATGTCTGGAAGTGTGTCAGAGAAAGTGTCTCTCATTCCCGTCTCACAGAAGCACTGTACGTTCTATCAAACTCTGCTCTCAGTGGAACTCCTCTAATCCAGACACCAATGGGACAGAAGAAAGTGTCCATATTAGTGAGGTGTTCTTATTTCAGGGGTTGAATTGCATGCAAGAACTGTTCTTGGGAGGTGTCCTTGTTAGAGAGGTGTCCTCGTTTCAGGGGTGTCCTTGGAGAGGAGCTCTACTCTACTGTGGTGTAGTGCTGACAGGGTTTTAATTTTTTTGTAGCTTCCGAGGGATTGCCGGCGGAGACCAGCTCGTTAGGTGACATTGAGGAGAGTGACTGGGAGGTGGACTCTGACCTCTGTGTTCCAACCACCCCCGAGATTACCATGGCAACACGAGGATCGGCTCTAGCTGAGAGAGAGATCAGGTATATACACACCTTATAATGGAGTGCAACTGTGTTTGTTACACAACAACTGTTTCCATATGGGATTCCATCTTTTGGTTTCTGTTTCAGGGGAAAAAATATGTACGACATCATACATTATACACATAGTAACAATGAGAAGTGTTTGCAAAAGCGTTTTATCGGTGAATCCAATTTGCCCAAAACAGATGGCAAAGTTTTGTAAAGAGAAGTCAATTACATGTGTATTTATCCAAACTGGTGTAGTCGCTCAGTGGCTGGCGACACCTAACGCTGAAATGACGGACTTTGTAAAAAACCTGAAGTTTTTTCGCCGCCAACCATAGTACGTAGCCAAGGAAACCAAGCTGTGGAACGCACAGGACTACAAACTGTGCCTTTATGATCCTCCTCAGTTCGCTAGTGCAGCGTACCACATCTGCACCTTGGTAGGGGCAGGCTCCGTACAGCTTGAAGCACAACAAGCTCTGTGCCGTTAGCAGTGTCAACAGTACTAGTTCGATGCATGTGTGCCACAGTTTCTTGTAAGGCTGTGCGTAGGAATAGAAGGCAAAAGTGGAGACGTAGAGTGCAGCCTGCATTAGGAACGGTTCGTAAGTTATAAAATCGTGGCTCTGAAGGAATATGTTTGTGATGAATAAAGTGACGCGGTGAACGATGTAAATGGCGGACACCATTCTGTAGTCGATCGACCCGTTCTGTCCGTTCTTGAAACTGCACTGAAAGGCGTTCAGAAGACAGTTTAAATCCTTCAAGATGGTGGGCGAGCATCTTGAGAGCATTTTCCTGCCGCAGCGAGTTGGATAGAGGGAGAGCGCAAGACTTGGGATGAGCACGAACGTCACGAGAATCGCCAGTGCCAGAATCCCATAGAAGACGTGTTTGTCCGTCCAGTACAATACTCCCGTATCAACCGAATACAGCAATGCTCCGTGGTGTGTCCCTGTCAAGTTGTGCCCGAGTACGGTGTAGTACGTCATTGGTTGCAGTAGTTTGAGAGAGACTAGTAGAATCTTGGAGTAGGATAGGAGAAGAAAGGTTGCAAAGGTGTCTATTAGCGTGACATCGTCGGTAAAGAATCTCCTCTTGAATGAGACGAAATAAGAGTGAAACGGTCTCCAGGCAACTACAACTGGTCGGCACCCTTTCTGGTGCAGCCTCATAAGGCAGTATATCGCCACAGTCAACACCAGTGGGTAGAACGCAGAGATATAACCAAGAGCGACAAAACTCAACGTGTGAAGATGATGCCCGACGCAGAATTTCGGAACGACGAATCTGAAGAAGTCCATGTTCCAGAATCCGTAGACGGTGAGGATTGCGTTTGTAAAACGGGGGCTCTCTCTGCTGAGGACGTAGTAGAAATACGGAGAGGTGAATGTGTTGGCTATTACCTGGCAGTAGAACACAAATCCTATGATGAAACCGGAAGTGATGCGGACTCTCAGCAGCAAGAACAGAAAGAATACGACAGTTGGAAAACTTAGCTCTAGAAGAGTGTATTTCAGAAGGCCCAGTGCAGGCTTGGAGCATTTGGTGCAGGGAATGCCATAGTAGGTGTATGGTGAAGGAGCGTAGCCTGTTTCGCATCGGCTGCAGAATTTACCAGATCTATGAACGAGGACACACATCTGGTAGTTTAGATCGTTTGGATCTGAAGCTAGTTTCTGGTACACAAAGTCGAGGGCCTGTTGGGAAAGGTTGCGATCCTGAGACAGCTCAAAGATACTGTGACCCATCAACAGTTTCTCGTCATTCAGAAACAGGCGGTAGTCGACGTGAAGAAACGATTCTTTGCCTCTGCAGATGAACTGCCTATGTATGCAGATACGGCAGGCCGGATCCAACGGGTCACTAAACAGCGGCGGACACGGGGATGACTGCTCATTGCTGGCTCTTGCCAGAGACAGGGAGGCTGGGACAAGAACCCAGAACACCCCGAGATAACTCAGCACAATCATATCTGTGTCGCAATAACCCAGCTTCCGCGAACACACACGGCCAACCTCTGCAGTAGAATACACGTTCTTGCAACTACTTATATAGAGCCGTTTGTGCAAGAATACGAAACAGGTATTTTTGCATGTTTTTCAAAACGCTCATTGAAAGTGTATGCAGTGGTGGTGGGGGCTGTTTGGTAACAAAAGGCTGTTTATGGTTTCAGGTATTTTGTTGGTCTGACTCTGAGAGCCCGCTGCCTGGAATGGACTCTGGCCTTGGCCACACTTCTCTTGGACTCTGCCATCATTTCTCAGGTATGTTTCTCTATCATATAATACACCTCCTGTCAGTTCAGTATTCATGTGAGTAAGCATATTAGTATAAATAGAACTTCATGCATACTACATCAAGTAAATTATAGTGTACTTCTGCTACTTAATGCATCTCTAAATCAAACTTTATACTTTTGGAGTGTGTCATGATCTCTCCTTCTGTCTCTTCCCCCCACCAGGTTGTGGGGTGTGTCAATGAGGGAGGTGGGGAGGGAGGAGATGGAGAAGCAGTGAGCAGAGTTCTGCAAGGTCTCAGTGATATGGCCACCTGGGCTGAATCTGATTGGTCAGTTTCTCTCCACTGAAATTACAACAGTCCCTTTGCATTCACTGTAATTAAAGGAGTTTCCCCACTGCAGCCCGGGCTATCTTCCATTCCTGGACTCTCTCCACTCGCAGCTGGAACCACTGGTGGCCCAGTGGTTGTCTCCCTCCTCCGGCAAGTCCTCCACTCCAGGGACGGCTCTCCCAGAGGACACCGACCTCCCAGTGTTTGGTCCAGACCAGGTGGGAGAGAGAGAGGAGGGCGTCCGGAGGGACAGCGGCGGTGCTGAGTCAGCAGAGGGAACATCCTCATGTGTCATCTCATGAACTGCTCATTCATTGCTATAGCTACTGACTGGAAAGAGAACGAGCGCACAGCTTTGGTAACGTGTGTACGCGCAGGCGCGCGCTGTCTGGTACAATTTAGGGGCGTGGCTCGTAGCCTAGAGCGCGCGGGCGCGGCGCGCGCAGCCAGCAACGCCCATTTCTACTGCTGAAGTTTTAGGCTGTCGGGGGGTCGAAAGCAAAAGGGAGATCAACTGTAACTGCGAAAGCATCGTCAACTCTGCGGGCATCGTACGCTCGTAAGTCGTAAGTATAGCTATAATAGCTATCGTTTTTTCGTTGGAGTTTTTGTGGCTCGCCTTCTGAGTAGCTAGTGCGCTGTGGCAGAATTTGCGATGTCCAAGGAGCAACGGACAAGACCGGCACGAAAGGCACCCGTCGCTCCCACGGCCGGCAACAGAGAGACGACGCAAGTCCAAGTCCGAAACAAGGAGAAGAAAAAGACGAGCGAGAATGGAGGAGGGGCGAAGAATCTCCGCTACTCTCACCTGCTCGAGGGGATGGTGGGCTGCGGGGACATGGTCCTCCTGGAGCCGCTGACTGAGGAGAGCCTCTTGCAGAACCTCAAGACCAGATACGAGAGCGGGGAGATCTATGTGAGCTGCAGACGGCTGGGAGAGAAAGAGAGAAAATGAGAGAGAGAATAGTTAGCTATTGAGAAAGTCAGAAGGCACTTTGCTCTCGTTTTCTCTCCACTCATAATAATTATGGAATAAGGGTGTGGTTATTTTTCTTTGGCCTATTATCTTGAAGCTTTTGGACCAAATCCCACATCAAAAGCAGCTATGTGAAGGGGTGGAGGCTAGTAGATTATACCACATTGTAGTGTTAATTAACATTTCCCTTATGCCACACATTGTAGTGTTAATTACCATTTCCCAGAATGTTTTAAGGTGGGAACCATTGACTACCTATGTAGACTGATTCTGTTACATAAACCCTCCCTCTCCCTCCTTCTCCTCCTTCTCCCCCCTCTCCTCTCTCTCTCTTTCTTCCTCCCACCAGACCTACATAGGTCCAGTGGTAGTGTCAGTCAACCCATACCGTCAACTGAAGATCTACACTCCCGACTACATCGAAGAGTACACCAGCCGGAACATGTACGAACTCCCTCCCCACATGTAAGTCATGTGATCTCCACGACAAGTCACGTGACACCAGGTGATGCTCCAGATTTGCAGTGTCGGACTCGTCGTACCAGTCGATGCGGGACAGGAACCTTGACCAGTGCATCATAATATCGGGCGAGTCAGGAGCTGGCAAGACAGGTGACAGAAATCCACTACATACACACACACGGGCAGCGAGTGTGGGGCGACGCTAACAAACTACACACATTCCCAGAATACCTTGTACACAGGTTGAAAGGAAACTGCGACAATTTCCCTGATTGTAGCTAACAGTTGTCTGGCTCTTGTCCAGGAAGATTGTTAATGACAAGCCACTGCCTTCATTCTTAACCTGCCAGTAACCACTCTTCTCCATCTCTCCACGGAGCAGAAGCCTCAAAGCTGGTGATGCAGTATGTAGCAGCAGTGTCTGGAAAAGGTGATGAGGTGGACAGGGTCAAGGAGCAGTTGCTGCAGTCAAACCCAGTTTTAGAAGGTACCGTTTAAATTTCACATGTAACTTTATATCTATGGTGCAGGAGCTAATATTACACTCTAGAGACTTTGTTCTGTTGACATGTTTTCCTGTTGCAGCTTTCGGGAACGCCAAGACAAATCGCAACGACAACTCGTCGCGCTTCGTAAGTTATCTCAAGAAACTGTTTTGTTAGCCTTTTCCTGTTTTTCTTGTCTGCAGGGAAAGTACATGGATATTCAGTTTGACTTCAGAGGTGACCCTGTGGGCGGACTCATCTCTAACTGTGAGTTTTGTTTCTCTGGACAACTAGTCTCATTCATGATCTCTCTCTCCTCTCTCTCTCTCTCTCTCTCTCCCCAAATCAAGATCTTCTGGAGAAGGTTAGTACAACTAGCAGCAACTTTTTTATCACGTTCTCCTTATTCTCTCAACATCTCCTTCCTCCCTCTCCTACAGTCATGCAACTACACATTGTCTTATTTGTAGTCTTAAAGCCGTTTTCCCTCTTCCAGTCACGTGTTGTCGGTCAAAATCAAGGGGAGAGAAATTTCCACATATTCTACCAACTGCTTGCCGGAGCAACTGACGACGTATTACGTAAGAAACTATAATCTTTACAGTGCGGCTGAGAGTCGCACAATTACCGGTGGGTGTGGTCTGTTGCCATAGAGATGCTTCACCTGGAGCGAGAGGTGTTTCAGTATCGCTATCTCAGCGAGGGTGGCTGCAGTTATGTTCTCACCATGGAGGACGACAAGCAGTTCCAAGTCACCATCGTACGTGTTGTGTACCAACCACACAACTCCTGTACACAATTGAACCTCTGAATAGAGGACACCCTGGGCCATGAAAATCAATAGTACAGCAATCAATTGGAAGAATGTCCTTTATAGAGACTATATATTCCTCTCTCTCTCTCTCTCTCTCTCTCTCTCTCTCTCTCTCTCTCTCTCTCTCTCTCTCTCTCTCTGCTCTCAGAAAGCGATGGAAGTAATTGGTTTCTCTCCGGAGGACATCAGCTCCGTCCTGGAGATGCTGGCGGCCATTTTGAACCTCGGGAACATCACGTTCGCCGGGTACTCCTTACCCAACGGAACTGACGCCTGCAAAGTCACCGAGGGGCGTGGTATGTACATAATCACTACTAGTTTATCCACTTATTGACCTCCTAATTCCCCAAGTGTGTATTACTAGACTTATTGCCCCCTCCTTCTACTGAAGTGTGTCCTATTACCCTTCCTTCATAAGTAGGAAGTGTGGGTTATTAGACTTATTGCCCCCTCCTTCTACTGAAGTGTGTCCTATTACCCTTCCTTCATAAGTAGGAAGTGTGGGTTATTAATACCCTCCTTTATGTTGAAGTGTGGGTTAAAGGACTTACATACCCTCCTTTATGTTGAAGTGTGGGTTAAAGGACTTGCGTACCCTCCCCTGCAGCTATTGGATACGTTTGTGACATGCTTGGTTCGTCAGTGGAGCTAATGGAGGAATGTCTCACCATCAGGAGTGTCCATACTACGAGGGACTATGTACAGAAGCCACTCTCTGAATCTGAGGTGGGAGAGTACTCTATCAGGACACACCTCAACAGTGTCCTGATTATACCATTCAGGACACCTCAAAACACTGTCCTGATTTGTTTAGGACACCTCAAAACACCGTCCTGATTTGTTTAGGACACCTCAAAACACCGTCCTGATTTGTTTAGGACACCTCAAAACACGTCCTGAATGCAATACACACAAGTATAGCTACCAAATTTAATCTCTGTACTAACAATCTTATGTCTTATCATTATAACACTGGTAGTTTGTATGAAGATCTATACCAATTAGGATGCTTCAAGGGTGTGTCCTGATTGTTATGATTATGGTACTGATTTCAGGCGGTATTTGCAAGAGATGCACTGGGGAAGGCAATCTACGACAGACTGTTCACGTGGCTGGTGGGCAGAATCAACTACAGTATCAAGGTATGGGGGAACGAGGGTATGGAGTATGGGGAATGGAACATGAAGAATCGAATTCCCCAACAGGCAAAGAGCTTAACCAAGAAGAAAGTGATGGGTGTGCTGGACATTTATGGCTTCGAGATATTTGAGGTACGTACATGTGTGGTAGCTAGTGGAACTAGCAGGAGATGAGAGTGGGACTCTGGTTAGGGCAACAGCTTCGAGCAGTTCATCATCAACTACTGCAACGAGAAGCTGCAGCAGATCTTCATCGAACTCACCCTCAAGTCGGAGCAAGAGGAGTACATCAGGGAGGTGGGTGTGGCTTCACTCTCTCTCTCGGCTATAATATAATATTACCTTGTATCTCTTAATTTGCTCTTCTTCCTCTCTTTTTCAGAACGTGCAGTGGAAACACATTGACTATTTCAACAATGCAATCATCTGCGAACTAATTGAGCATGTGAGGTCTATATACAGAACCACACCCAGCAACCATTCCCCTCTCTCTCCTCCTCAGCCTACCACTGGAATACTGGCCCTTCTGGACGAAGAATGTCTCAGACCTGGGGAGGTGTGTCTCCTCTCTCCTCTGCTCATGATCGTTTCCTCTTGGCCCCTCCCATTTTCTCTCCCTCCCCCTCTCCTCTCCTAAACAGGTGACAGACGACACGTTCCTGGAGAAGCTGGATCAGCGGTGTGCGGGGATTCACCCTCACTACGAGAGCCGTGCCCTCAAAGCCCTCCGCAGCGATCAGACGATGGACCGAGACCAGTTTAGACTCGTCCACTATGCCGGAAACGTCAGTTGAACTTTGAACTATTCTCCCTCTGTACGTTTCCCCTTTCATCTCCCCATCTTTCTCAAGAGTCGACTCAAAAAATTGTTGTTCAGTGGAGGCAAATAACCAGTGACATTCTTCCTACCAACTAACTTAACAAATTTGTGACATTACTCCCACATGTTGTCATGTCTCCCCTCCCCTCCTCACCCCTCACCAGGTGACCTACGGTGTGGGGGGGTTCCTGGAGAAGAACAGAGATCTCCTCTTCAAAGATCTCTCTCAGGCCATGTTCGCCTGCGAGAGGCCTCTTCTCAAGACGCTCTTCCCCGAAGGTCAGAGGTCATCCTCCTCAAAACGGCGAAGATTTTAAATTCCCAAATGCATGCGACATGACCTTTACACCCAAACTTTCGTATTTTCCCCGTTTCACTTTTCCTAAACAGCTGTGGTTTTTAACTCTCCTGAAAGTTAAATTCAAGCTGTTGTCATGGTATCTGTTGCCACAGGCAACCCCAAGCTGCAGACGCTAAAGAGACCACCAACAATGGGCTATCAGTTCAGGGTAAGCCCCTCCAATTACACCTGTAATAATTATCAAATTCACACGCACACTCTATTCCAGAGCTCAGTGGCCCAACTTATGAAGAACCTGCTCACCAAGAACCCAAACTACATTCGATGCATCAAGGTATACACTGGCAAGCTATAATTACAAAAGTCGTAGAATTATAGAAACACATTCATAATAGTTAATAGTGTTAATAGAGTCATATAGATTGGTGCAAAATTGCACAATTCAAAATGACTAGTTAAGCTCACCAACTATCAATGCAACCAGGAAAAATTTGTAAGCTAGGTAAATTTTTACCAAGTAATCACACAAATGTTTTCCTTCTCTTTGTCTGTTACGCTCAGCCTAATGATGTGAAGTCGGGTCGAAACTTCCACGATGATCTGGTGCAGCACCAAGTGAGGTACCTGGGACTGATGGAGAATGTCAGAGTTAGGAGAGCAGGCTTTGCCTACCGACAGGAGTACGGACAGTGCCTCGCTCGGTGAGAGCCAGCCACGAGTTACGGTCTACCTTACTTTTCCCTTCCCTCCCTCTCTCTCCTTCCTTCTGCAATCTCGCTCTAAATCTTTATCCTATCTCGCTCCCACCTTTGACCTCCCCCCTCTTCTCTACTGGTAACTATAGCTACAAGATGTTGTCGGGGGAAACATGGCCAGTGTGGAAGGAAAACCCGCGGGAAGGAGTGAAAGAGATCTTATCGGTACTTGTGCCTCCATACCTGAAATAAGTAGTTGTTGAAACCGCATTTTGATAAAGATGTGAAGGTGGTAGAATTGAATGATTGCAGTGTTTTTCTGAAGGCATGTGGGTGTCACGAGTTGGACTTCACCTGCGGTCGGACAAAGATCTTCATTCGGAACCCGCGAACGGTTTTTGCGATGGAGGACAAGAGACGAACAAGGCTCCACGATCTGGCCACTCTCATCTCCAAGACTTGGCGCGGCTTCTACCAGTGGAGCAAAGTGAGCCTCTGTTACTGGTGATATTGTCCTGGAGTTTTAGGTTTGCATGACTTGCTTATGCAAACTTTCATTCGTCTTCAACATTCCGCAGTACAATTTTGTGGTTAAATTGTCTCCCGCGGACGTGAAAAATAATGACCCTGGCCTAGCTCTACCTCCCTCTGTGTTACCATAGTTTCAGACGATGAGGAGCTCACAGATTACCATCGCTGCGTGGTACAGACGTTACTATGTGAGTTACTCACAAACAAACACAAACAAACAAAACAACATCAACCGTGAACTTCATTACAAATTAACAACAACAAACAATACATACATAGTTACAAGCAAGGAACAATAAATCTGTACTTTGACAAGAAATTATCTAACAAACAAACATGTATATGAAACTTGTCAACTTTTGCTTGCAGGTACAGAAGTGGTACATGCGGACCAAAGGAGCAGCTCTGGTAGTCCAGAAGTACTACCGAGGAATGGTGGTACGTGTACAACCCTTGCCGAGTCCCATTCCAGAACTCTCATTCCCATTCCACAGGCTCGCATGGAACTGAGACGACTCAAATGGCTAAAGAGGGCGGCCTGGGCGGTGGGCGTTATTAAGAAATACTTCCTCGGTTGGCAGGTGCGAAAGGAGGTTCAGGAGATGAGGAGGAGACAAAGAGAGAAAGAGGCTGTGCTCGTTATCCAAAAATATTACAGGGGATGGAAGGTATTATTACATTTTCAAGGTGCATGAATTTCGTAACAATTACCCAGCAAAATTTTTTCTTATAAAACAGCCGCTCTATTAAAATTCTACGTGAAGACATGGTCGTATAGTGCACATTAGTAATACTGTCTGCTGTGTAGGTGAGGGAGGAAGTAAGGGGACTGTTCAAGCAGGTGGCGGGTCCGAAGGTCGCAGTCTTCATGTGGAAATACATGGTGCGTACTTCTCTGATTCCACCACCTCATATATACAATAGAGGTTTTATATACTAGAAGAATGTTGAACATTGTTGGCGAGCTATATGTTATTTTGTTTTTGAGTTACGCGAGTTCAATCTGAAGAAGAAGAAGAAGATGATGAACAAAACTCCCTATCATAGCCCCATACATCTATGATGCTAGGTACCATGTCAATCCCTATAATACTAAGTACTACCGTACTTAGTGATATAATTTATAAGTACACAGAAAATTCCGCTCCAACAAAGGACTAGGTTGGCTCGCTCCCCGCCAATTATCATTGGTAGTGCTGATTTTGCCAAAGTGGGTATGTAATTATGGTAGATAATTTACATAATTGGGGCCTTGAACCTTAGGACCACAACTATTCTTTGACCAATTTTACCTAGTATAGAGCTATGTAACGTATGGTGTGGTGGTTGTATCCCACGTGTTTCAGGGGGGAAATATCTCTCGTATGGGGTGTCGTATCTACGGGTGTAGTTGACTTGTTTGCTTTTCCTTGCCTTTCTACCTCACTACGTGTCACAACACAGATTCTAAAAGCTTCGGTACTATTAGCAAACAACATCTTGATTATATGTATGATTTACATGACTTTACATCTCTCTCGTCCTCAATGTCTTTACAGTCTTGCTTCTTCTCTTCCTATCCACTACTCTCTTATTACCCTCACTCCCTGCACCACCCTCCCCCCCCATGTGCATGTGGGGGCAATGTGAGGACAACTTGACATAATGTGTTTGTTTTCCACCCTCTTGCCTCCCTCTTGCCTCCCTCGTTGTTCCCTCTTCTTCCTCCTCTTTCCTCTCTTCGCCATTTCAATTTCACTCTCTCGAATCATCACTCGTTCTTCTCCCGGCCGGGGACAGTGCTACAATTTCCTGCTGACGATCTTGAGAAATGCCCCGAGCACTTCTCCACTGGATGACCACTGGCCACAGGTATACACTATCACCTTCATCTCCACAAAACCAATGTCAGCACGGGTTGCGACTTGTAAATCCCGAAAAAGATGAGGGTGTTTTGTATCTGGCGATTAACAAAGCGTAACGGTATGTATGTCCGACAGTGTTGTATAATAATATCGTCGTGCTGTACATATACATATACACAGACTAACAATTCCAAAGCTCATACGTGTATAGCTGCAATAGGGTGTGATTGTGTCGTCTATGTTTAGGTCTCTGTCTTGTTTGAAAAGAGCAGCGAGCTGCTGAGGGAGGTCCACCACAGATGGCCGGTAAACCCAACACCACCCACGACTTCCGTTTAACCCCTTTCCACCTGACTTCTACTTTCACACACACACACACACACACTCACTCAAGTGTAAGGTAATGAGGGACTACTATCAAGCGAGACCAAAGGATAGAAAACGAATGATGGAAAAACCTCGAGCCAGCAACATTTTCAAGGGGAAGAAGAGCCTCTATGATCAAACGTACGCCTACCCCTCTCCTCCCTCTTCAATCACTCTGATTATTAACCCTTTTGTTTCTCCCTCCCTCCTTTCTCGTTCTAAAACCTTTCCCCCTCTCTGACTGAAACGCAGGGTCGCCGTGCCATTTGAATCCGACCGACTCTCTCTGAGATCTGACCACCGCTGGTCAAAAATTGTGGCCGAGACAAACGAACAGAGAATAATTTGGACGGACAGAGCACACAAAATCAACAGGAGGGATGGGAAGGTGGGTCAAATTTTAACCAGGGCTTCCAAAATTTTCGCTCCATTATCATTGCCGATTTAAAACCCTCCTCTTCCTGAGAGGTTTTCGGTTATTTAACCAACCCTAGTTCCATTCTTAATTAAACCCTCTCGCCCTTTTCTGATTTAACCCTCTCCTTCCTCCCCCTGAAGGGTGTTCCCATAGTTCTGGTGGTGACGGGAATGTCAATTATGATTCTGGATCCCAAGTCGCTGGCCCTCAAGTACAGGATAGATCTGAGGAACATCGACCAAGTCTCCGTTTCCAGTTTCATTGACAACCTTCTCGTCCTTCACATTAACCCCGTGAGCACCACACTCACATTAACCCCGTGAGCACCAAACTCACTTTAACCCTTTGATACCGCGGTGTGGAAAGTTTAACCCTGTGTGCATGTGAAATTTTAACCCCGTAGTGACCCTATGTGTAAATCACCCTCTGTATGTATGAAAAGCTCAAGAAAGGTAATTTAAAATTTAACCCTTCTCTCCCACACACAGTTCAAGGCGACAGACAGGTCTTACACAAAAGGAGACTTTGTTCTAAAGACAACACACGTCATTGAGCTGGTCACTAAACTATCCTCCGTTGTCAAGGAAACACTCAAGAAAGAATTGGAAGTTACCATCAGCAACACGTATGTTTCTTTCTTTGTTACAAAACTCATTATAAGAATTAATTCGATGGAAATGCGTAGCTTCATCCTCCACCTCCTCCCAACACAGGATAATAGCTCATTTCAAGGTGGATGAAGATCCGTGCACCATCACCTTCCAGAGGGACCAGACCTCAACACACAGACCCAGTCCCGTCTGCAGGAGACGCGCTAACACTCTGCAAATCATTGTCTAGAGATAGCTGTCGTTTTTTAAACTCTTTACTTTCAATACGCACGCATCCCTACACCTTTTTACCCTCTGATTAATGTATAATTTGCGGTTCCCCAGTTTGCGCATGCGCCACACGAAGCATGCCCCAGCGCCCCGGCCCCGACTTATGAATATATTATAGCAGAAACTAAACCTTGAGTTCCGTTAGCCCCGAGAAAGAGACGGTCGGAGATGTTTCAAAGAGTGATCATTGTATTCCTGCTCGTTTCAGCACTGGACGTGGGAGCCTCAGTCAAGACCGACTCAGGAGGTGAACCGCGTGGGAGAGGGACGACGCCATTTTTTCCCAGTAACTGCGCGAGTGAATCGCTCTGCTCTGGGAGCCAGGACGGCTCGGCGACCGTCTCTTCACGCAAAACTCGGCGACGGACGGGTCCAGACACCGGTTTTGTAATTCGCGGGAGTTTGCCGGGAGTTTGTTGTGCCGTGTGCAGAAAAGTGCCGTGTGCAAAGGAGATCGCCCCCTTGGCAAATCGCTTTCTTCGTTTAGCTCTCTCTGTCGACTTACTCTCCCCTCTCTGCCGGAGTTCGCGAGTAAACGCTAGCCGCGACTTTTGCTACCGGTTTAGGGGACGGGGTGGTGGCGGAGGCGACGGGGGTTTTTGTGTGGTTGAGTGCCATGTTTGGATTTAGCCTCAAAAAATTTATTACGGCTATCCACCTAAATATTTTGGGGACTGTACTCGCGGGCGTGTTTTTGCATTTTTGACACACTTGGAAATCCCCCTGTTCATATCTCAAATAGAAAGTAGTCACCATGAAGTTTAGTCAAACTTTGTAGTGTATTGTTTTTCACCTGTCAATGTGTTGTTTGTAAGGTGCATCGTCAAGTATGGTAGAGTCATCTTCATAAACTGCATTTCAGATAGGCTCGCTTCACTTATAGTTTTGCCAGTAACCCTGGCTTTGTCAACGGAAAGGTGCATATTCTATTTCCTCGTTCTGACAACAGGTCTGCATCGAGTGAGGAGAGCTGTGGATGATCATGGCCACGAGGAAGATGACCATGCTGAGGAGGACACAGTACAGGTGAGCGGCGTACAGTAACTACCACAGCCACTGTGTGGAGAGGGACAAGAAGCGTGGAAACCGCCCTGATATGCAGGATATGCAGGGTGTGTGTGTGTGTGTTTGAGATCAAAGGAAGTAACACAGGTCAGGGAAGATTTATGAGCTCTATGCCAGGAAGTCATTTGAGTGTCATGCTCATGGCACTGTGAGGCTGACACTAGGTTCCAGGTTCCTTCCAAATATGGAAGGGCTGAGGTGGGAATGGGGAAGCCACACTCTGGGGGCTAGTGTCATTCCGTCGTGCTAGCAAGTGTAGCTAGAATACACACACAGTTGGTATGAATACTGTACCTTCCACAATACAATCTGCTTCTCTCTGTATATATACCTCCTCTCTCCTCTCACTCTCTCGCAGTGTGCCCTGAGCAAGGCTCATCTGGTGCAGGCCTTCAACGACGTGTCTACAGAATTGGATCTCAGGGGAACCGACGACAAGGTGTGCGCTCTCCCCGTCCCCAAATGCCATCACCGCGATGACGACGAAGAAGATCACCATGACGATGATGAAGAAGATCACCATGACGACAAAGAAGAGGCACATGAATATGAAAATGTTGATGGTCACAAAGAAAGTGGTGAGTGTAGTGGATTTTGGCGTCCATGTTTGTTTGTTACCATGTCGATATTAAAATGTGATGTCATCTCATGTGCACGCAGGTAGTGGTGAGGGAAGTGGGAGGAGTGGTGGTTGTGTGTCAGTGTTTCAAGTCTGCCAGGAGCTAATCCTCCACACCGGTCTAGCCTCGTCTTCCTGCCTCGCTGAGAACTGTCTGGGGGAGGGAGAGGAGAACGCGACGACATCTCGCAGCCAGAGTGACAGACCATCTGCTGCTCAAGGTGGGATTCTGATATGAAACCATGGTTACCAAAGTCATCTTCACATTCCTCTCCTCTCGCCCAGCCTATGGTTTTGGTTTCCTGATGGTAGCCCTGGTCAGTCTGGGATCCCTCCTGGGGGTGCTCATCGTTCCTCTCGTCCTCACCAAAGACAAGACCAAGACACGATCGCTGGTCTACAAGTACCTGTACTTCTTCATGATTGCTCTGGGGACGTCTGCACTAGTGTCTGATGCCGTCCTTCACCTCTTCCCTCATGTGAGTTACAGGAGTTTGCAACCTCTGAATAAAGGACACCTCTCTATAAAGGACACTTGGTTCTGCCCCATACTAATACACATTAGCACATATACATCTGGATAAGAAACGCCTCTGAATAAAAGATAGGTGTTTGACTGTAGTCATGTGACCAGTCACCTGACTGTGCTGTGATCTCTCTTCCCCCTACGGCAGGCCTGGGGGCTCCACGCCCACGAGGAGGACGATGGACACGCCCACGACGAGGTGGGCGGAGCTCACACCAAAGTCGAGGACTTTGTATGGAAGGGAACAGTAGCTTTGCTGGCAATGTACCTCTTCTACCTCCTGGAGTTCCTCCTCCACGGAATGACCAGCCACACCCACTCTCATGTGAGACCACACCCACTCTCACGTGAGACCACACCCACTTTTGCCAACTCAAAATACCTTTTTAGTTGCAGGTCGATATTTACCCTTCCGTGTAAGTTACTCGCAGTCACAAATTGTTTCCTTTTTACAGGGTTTCCCTACTGATAAGGAGGAGTGTGGGGAAGATGGAAAGGAATGTATTCAACTGGATGTTGGGATACCCCACGGAGAATGTGGGGGAACAGTGGAGAACCCCGGCATACTCCACCCGGCCACGCCCAGTGCTCCGCCCTGTGAGAGCGGGAAATGTGCTTCGTACAGGCAGCCCCTAGTTAATGGGACCTCCTCACCTACCAAGGTCTGTCATTGTGTGTGCGTGTGTGTGTGTAAAATTTCACGCGGCATTTAAATTTTGTCTGTACAGTTGCAGAACATATAATTAGTTTGCTATGGGATATAGCCACAACCTGCATGCCAAATTTTCCTAATCATGTTTTAAGGAAGTAAAAGAATTTCCTTAAATGCATTTACCCCTTGATAGATTAGCTTGTTTAGAGGAATTCCCTACCCTTGATAGATTAGCTTGTTTAGAGGAATTCCCTACCCTTGATAGATTAGCTTGAGTCACTTATACTTTTGGCCACCGTCTCTCTCGTGTCTCAGGTGCTGGGGGACAAGAGGAAGAAGAGGGGAATTCTCGGCTGGCTGAAGGGGATAAAGCCGCTGGCGTGGCTAATCATTATCGGAGACAGTATCCATAACTTTGCCGATGGGCTGGCTCTCGGGGCTGCTATATCGCAGAGTCTGACGCTCGGCGTGAGCACCACAATAGCCCTTATTCTCCACGAGCTTCCTCACGAGTTTGGTGAGTGGAACCCCTCTAATCAGAGACCACACCCACTCTCACGTGAGACCACACCCAGTGTCCTTAGAGAGGTGTCCTCATTTGTGGTGTAGATGGAACCCCTCTAATCAGGGCACCAATGAAACTGAAGAAAGAGTCCGTATTAGTGAGGTGTCCTTATTTCAGAAACTGTACTTGGGGAAAGAGAAAATGGGATGGGTGATATTGCGAATGTTCTTGGGGAAGAAAAGGTGTCCTTAAAGAGGTGACCTCATTTCAGGAGTGTCCTCAGAGAGGTGTCCTCATTTCAGGAGGGTCCTTAGAGAGGTGTCCTCATTTCAGGAGTGTCCTTAGAGAGGTGTTCTCATTTCAGGAGTGTCCTTAGAGAGGTGTCCTCATTTCAGGAGTGTCCTTGGAGAGGTGTCCTCATTTCAGGAGGGTCCTTAGAGAGGTTTTCAGGAGGGTCCTCAGAGAGAGGTGTCCTCATTTCAGGAGGGTCCTCAGAGAGAGGTGTCCTCATTTCAGGAGTGTCCTTAGAGATGGGATCCTAATACACTATTTGCTGGAGACTCTTCAATCCTCTCCCTCCCCTTTGGTGTGTACAGGTGACTATGTGATTCTGCTGTCCACTGGCCTGTCTTGGTACTCAGCTCTCCTTTTCAACCTCTTCTCTGCGCTGACGGCCGTGGTGGGGTTCTTTGTCGGAGTAGGCGTGGGGACGGAGAGCGAAGAGGCAAACTCCTGGATCCTGGCCTTTGCTGCTGGTCTATTTATCTACATTGCTCTTGTAGATCTGGTATGAGATAGTTCCACTTTTACTCACCCGCTAAAGTACTCTGAGCGGCTGGCTAGGCAGGTGCACAGGATTGCCTAATTTCCATTATTACGACCCTGGCAGCCAGCTCTATCTAGTGATGTAATGTTTACATCCCCTCCCCTCCCTCCCCCCCTCCCTCCCCTCCCTCCCTCCCTCCCCTCCCCACAGCTGCCGGAACTGATCCACACAAAGGAAAAGGGGAAACATCGCTTGGGTCTGTTTTTCGCTGCAAATTTCGGATTCTTCTTCTCCTTCCTCCTCCTCTTCCTCCTCGCCGTGTACGAGGAACAACTCAACAATGTTCTTTGAACTGATTACAGTGACCCTGAGTTAATTAGATCGTCTCCCACGTACTACAAATTGGTTTTGTAAAACAGCCACAATTATGTTATCAGGTAATGATCACATGACAGTCACCTGAGCTAGCTATAAGGGGAATCCCCAGTGTGTGAGGAGGAAGGAGAGAATCACCTGTGTGGCTGAAACTGCACTCAACATCCATAGTGTGACAGCAGTTCTGGGGAGAGAGAGAGAGAGAGAGAGAAATTCCATAGTACACCTTGTTGCATGAACTCATCATACACACACATTGAAGCTACATCCATCTTACACCCACACACAGTGAGGTGCATTACAACTTGTGTCACGCAACTAAGCAGCAAAGCATGTTGGCCTCCATGGCAACGTTAGACTCCACCGCCCAACCTGTGCCTACCTCTTGAAAATACGTGAGACGAGCAGGTTAACGAGTAGGGGCCACCCCAATAACATGAGGCCGAGGTGAACGATTCTCCGGAGTTTCCTCTGTCTACTAGCAACCCTGAGAATCAAACCAGTTGTTGCGTCGTCACTTGTCTGTATGGAGAGCAGATTGACCCGAGAGTCAAAACATTAAAGGTCTGCCGAAATAATGAACTCTCAAACTGTATCAGTGGAAACCCTCTAATATGAACGTCAACATTAGCGAGGTGTCCTTTTTTCGGGGGTTAAATTGCATGCAACAACTGTTCTTGGAGAAGGAAAATGTGTCCTTATTAGAGAGGTGTCCTTCATTTCAGGAGTGTCCTTAGAGAGGTGTCCTCATTTCAGGAGTGTCCTTAGAGAGGTGTCCTCATTTCAGGAGTGTCCTTAGAGAGGTGTCCTCATTTCAGGAGTGTCCTTAGAGAGGTGTCCTCATTTCAGGAGTGTCCTTAGAGAGGTGTCCTCATTTCAGGAGTGTCCTTAGAGAGGTGTTCTCATTTCAGGGTGTCCTTGAGAGGTGTCCTCATTTCAGGAGGGTCCTTAGAGAGGTGTCCTCATTTCAGGAGTGTCCTTAGAGAGGTGTCCTCATTTCAGGAGTGTCCTTAGAGGGTGTCCTCATTTCAGGAGTGTCCTTAGAGAGGTGTCCTCATTTCAGGAGTGTCCTTAGAGAGGTGTCCTCATTTCAGGAGTGTCCTTAGAGAGGTGTCCTCATTTCAGGAGTGTCCTTAGAGAGGTGTCCTCATTTCAGGAGTGTCCTTAGAGAGAGGTTCAACTCTATTACACCATGGTCTAAAACATACCTGTTGCTGTAGCAACCTCTGATTATACTGAGAGAGGGTCTGGATTTGTTGAAGAGCTTCCTCTAGCCTCGCTCTCACCATCCTCACCTCCCTCCCCACTCCCCCCTCTCCCTGCCGAGACCACACCCCCTGCCCCTCTCCCCTACTCCCCACGTTAACCCCTTCCCCACTAGCACTGCTACCTCCACCGTGACGGAAGGAGGATGCCCCGCCCACTTGGTTCTGGGAGGACGGAGTAACTGAGGTAGTGGGGTGGGGTAAAGGAGCCTCTGGGGTAGATTTTGACTCCGGAGTCTTGTTGTGGGATGAATCGCTGCCCACTACCTCAAATGACGGAGACAGTGACTCGGGCGATACGTGTTGCCACGGTGACAATAGCTCCCCGTTTGCACCCCCATCCTGGAATAGTGACTTGCATCCTGACATTGTCCGTGTTGTAAGTGTGCGACTTCTACTGCATGTACTTGCAGGATTTGAATCTAAAGGTTTTACGTCTACCTTGCAAATATGCATCCAATGTAAAATTTTTGCACGTTTACCTGCAGGTCTTGGAACGATTCTTGATAGTCTCCGTTACTGCTGACGCTTTTCTCCCCCTCTCCCTCCTCTTCCTCCTCTCCCTCTTCTTCCTCTCCTCTTTCCCCACGTGACAACTCTAGTTCTTCCACACGATGGAGAACGGAACTACTTAGTGGTACCTCCTCCTCTCCTCCCTCCTCCTCTCCTCCCTCCTCAGTCTCAGGTGGTAAGACAGGACTAACTGACTCCAGAAAATCCGCCACTTCTTTCGTCTCAGGTATTGCCTTAACCATCTGAAACACACATACACACACAGCAACAAGACTAGATCAATACATTAAGTGGAACACAGCCTTTAAAATGTATGGGTGATGATGATACTATGCACCATCATGTATTGTGGCCATGTGACTCCATATAAATATACCTCAGTGAGCTCATCAACGTACAGCTGCATTGCTATCTCTTTGCTCATATTTCCACACAGGCTCCAAGCCTCCCTGTAGACACACAATCATCGTAACATCTTCCAACGCCATCGTTCTCCTCTCCCACAAGTCAACTATGAATTCTCCCCCCCCTCTCTCTCTCTCTCTCTCCTTCCTCACCACTTGGCCTTGCCCACGACATCCCAAAATCCAGGTTTTGGAGCAGCACATGGACCTTCTGTTGCCTGCTTATACAGTGCATAGAACTGAGGAAGGAAAACCAGAGTTTAATAGCTAGTTTTCTTGCGAGGGTCAAATTTGTACCACACCGTAATAATTACGAACGTTAAACCGTTGGAAAGTTGAATGGTTAGCGTGTGCGAGTGTGTGAGACACTGGTCCGTGACGTCGTAAAAGACATCCTTTACTTGGCATGAGGTGGAGGGAGAAGTGTACATTATGCCAGCCATCTCTTTGCACATACGAAGTTATACAGTACACCACATGACCTACTACTAGTAGTAAATGCACCCTTAATCAGTCCAAAATTGCAGCTACAAAAGACTTGCAGTTGCAAGTTCAGAGGCTCCGTATTAAGTATGAAGGCGAAGCTAAGCAAAGCAGTGTGCCTTGTCTGCTACACAAACAGGGACTAAACATGGCTCGCTTAAGAGAATGTCATTATAACGTTAGGCATAATCACGGAGTGCTGGCTAAAGAGAGATGTTTAGCAGAACAAAAGAACTTCCTTTCGCAACGTCGGTCGCTTCATCGGCAGCGTTCCGAGTTTGGGAAGTTATGTGGTGATGTTTTTAGAGAAGATTGGGTCACGTACAAGAAGTCATGTTCGTAAAAGGGTTGTGCTTAGCTGTTCAGGTGGCTCCATGCACACAGTTGAGTTGCCTTGTGTGCAGTAAAAGTAAGCTCAGTAAAGAGTGCTACAATACAGAAATCACATCCCTCTTGCTGGATGAGCCTGGGAACAATAGGGCCTGCTGAATGTGTTGGATCGTCGTTAGCCCTCGGCCGCCCAGCTCAGAACCAGCTGCATCAGCCACTCCCGGGCAGTCAGGATGGGTCAGGGTGTGTTTATGGACATTGGCAACCCTCGAGCCAGCAGGCCCAGCAGTTATACCGGTCACCATTGACGTTGAGATGCATTCCAACAGTTGATGTTATTTCACACTCTTAATCGAAATAACTCACACGCAATTTGGTCTTATTGTCCGCCATGTAAGGTCCTGTGGGGGTGCAGTGTTGAATGGTTACAGCGCATGCGCAGAACGGAGTACAGACCTTCTTTGGGTAGTGTCCGGATCATGGCGACAGCTGTCCGGAAGCGCTCGGTGATCGGTCTCGGCGTCCGATTGTTTGAGGTCGAGCCTCCTTCTGCTCCTCCAGAGGCCATACTTTCGTGATTTCACAGGTCAAAGTTCAACCTGTTATCTACCCTAGATCAGGTGTTCAGGCGCATGCGCACGTACTATCACCGGTAAACCGACGTGACGCGTGCTCGCATTTGGAGAAGACTTTTATGGAATAGCCTGCAGTATATAATTTCCTGGCCACGCGTGGCTGTAAAACGAGCTGCAGGCCCCGAGACCGTAGCATATCGACGCTCACTATTTTCCACAGTTCGGCCGCATTAGAATGACATTTATTTTCCTAGCGACGCTCGCTCTCCTCGCGACTAATTTCCATTGCAGCACTGCGCAGCAGTCGGACAACGACGACGGAGACTTCTCATTCACCAATGGAGCAGTGCCCGATCCATTCGCTCTCCACCAGCGCTATCCTGACAGGCCCGAGGCGGTCGAATGCCGGCCGATTCGCGTGCAGATCCCGCGCGGCTCCCGGCGATTTCGGCAGGAGCTCGTCACGAACGACCACTCGGGCGTGCGTTTCGCAAATTCGGACGCGCGGATAATGTCGCTGAGGCTCCGGAGGTACGTAAACGAGCTGGCCGATGCCTTTCACGATGAGTTTGGCGTATGGATCGCCGTCAGCAAGGCGTGGGTCGAGGATGGAGACGAAGAAATCACTGATCCAACCTCTCTTCATTTTGAGGGTGAGTGAGGAGGGAATCTGAATGCTACGCGCGAACCAATGCAAATTTGCTCGATTTTCGACGTTAGCTACGTAGCATAAAGTGGGCCTGAAATGCACTCTATAGAGTGTCGTTTTGGGTAAGTTCATGTGCTATGCAACCATGTAGGGAAGAGTTCTATCCAGACAAAGCAGCGTTTATGGTATGGAGCTGGTCTGTATCTAGATATCACATTACACATCTCCTTCTGAGCTCGCCTGGCAGCGGATAATTTGTGTAGCTTCTCAACGAAAGACGAGAATTAGTATTTCAACGTGTGGCTACACCTCTTGGCAGTATTACCCCGGACTCGCTGGGAAATCGCATGGAGTGTCTTTTGATAGCGAAAGAGAACAAAAGGCAGCGACATGGAATTTCTGTGAGGGCAGCTGTATAAGTTCCTCTGGTAGCTATAGCAGCAGCCACGTGCCTCAGTCCCACAAATGCAGTCAGTTACTGTATAAAGGCATTGCCATAAAACAACACGAGCCTGTAGCAAGGGCTAAAGCAATGTAGTGATGCAAAATATAGAGGGTCACAGAATTTTGCGCGTTGAAGCGGTTAATGTATATCAACAGGCAAATCATGACTTATGGGGAGGAAGTTTGCCAAGAACCACGGGGATTGTTTACTCTTCTGTTGTGATCACTGAATCAGTTTAATTGATAACCCGCAGCAGTATATAGCTAGGGCATGACAACCTGCAAGTTGTGTCTATACATCACGTGGATTTGACTTCCTTCCTTATATATACCATGTGATTGCGTATATGTCATCACCTCCAATATTCGTAGGCCCCTTGTGTTCTCATGTAAATAGAGAGTAGCTCTTCGCAGCCCAACTTTTTCTTTCCTGTCTTTCTAATAAGTGAGAGCTGCGTAATTTAATAAGCTATATACCTGTCTATCTGTATATATCTTGCAGGACGAACTCTTAGAGTGTCAGTTCAAGTGTCTCTTGTCTCACTTCTCCTCCAACTGGCCGTTGAGATTGGGTTTGACTGGGTGTACTATGCCGACGACAACTACGCTCAATTAAGTGTTATCCCAAACCGTGAGTAAAAATCATAAACAAATCACCAGTTTGTTTGTGTCAAAATAGGGTTACTTAAAGGGTAGTGGTAATGGATATATAGAACCGAGTTGTGCTTTGCGGAGGCAGAGTTAAAGTGTGTGAGAACAGAGGCCTCAAACATGGCAAGTGGTGACTGCCAACCACCCTTCATTCAATGATGTGCCACATTAGTCTCAGGATAGGCAGACTTGCGGAGTCAGGTCTCCAACTAAGGTATTTATTAGATGGTGTCAGCGTATCTCCACTTGGCTGGAGCACTTGTTCTTTGTGGGCCTATTCACATAAACGACCTTTCCCCTCCCTCCAACTTTCCTTTCTCTCTTTCTCTCTTTCTACCGCCCTTCCTCTTCCTGGCCAATCTTTGTCCCAGTGTGCGATGTATCACTCGACATGGTATTCATGTTGGATCGCTCGGGAAGTGTGGGTGAAGACAATTTCAACACAGCCATCTCTTTCCTTTCGAATGTCGTTGGATTCTACGATATTTCCAGTACCGGTACTCAGGTAAACAGAGACACAGTGACCTTAACACACAGTCAGAGAAATGCTGTGTAATCTGATTTATAAACTAGATTTCTTGAAGCCTTGCAACTTTATTGCTTCTGTGTCTGAAACTCCCTCCCAACCACCACAAAATTCAATTATTATTCTCTTACGTTAAACAGAGCACTGTCTACACTGTAATGCTTTAAATTCGTGGTGTCCCATGACTGCTGAAATTCAGCACTACTGTTGCTGCAGTATTATATCCCCCTGCTGCCCAGGTGGGACTGGTCACATACTCCACTGGAGCTGCTATAGAGTTCGATCTGAATGATTTCCAGTCGGTGGAGGAGATCAGAGTCGCTCTATCAACAGTTCCCTACACCAAAGGCTGGACAGCCACTGCTCTCGCTCTGGTACTGACCCGTTTCATGATGGATCCCCTCCAGAACTACGGGGCAAGACCGTTTGCAGACGGGATTCCCAAAGTTGCCGTCCTGTTAACCGATGGTCGCTCCAACCAGTTACCAATCATCGATCGTGCCAATGCCCTGCGAAACTTTGGTGTTCAAGTAAAAAAAATTTTAAATCACCGACACTACTTTGAGTGATTTTATTTTTATCTATGAAGGTGTATACAGTTGGGATTGGGGACGTGTATTTGCCGGAGCTCCAGTTTATTGCCAGTGATCCAGACAACCAACATGTGTTTCTGCTGGATTCCTTCAACAATGCAGAGAGTTTCGTTGATTTTCTCAGCATTACCACATGCGATGGTGAGTGTGAGAGCCAAAATGCACACCGCAGTGTATGAAAATCAACGATTCAAGAATGAAAAATGTTATGCCTATATAATTGCATGCCCTCGCTTAAAAGGTCGTGCCTATCTGGATATAATATGCTCACTTGGCTCGTGAATGGGCAAAATTAATGGGTGATCCCTCGTTAGCAGCCCGCAACTCAATTCAAAACCGACTGAGAGAAATAACAACAAAACGTATTCCGATGAACCATGCCCTTCACCGCGTCGTTTTGCAAGCCAGACAATGTGTACATTTCCAAGTGGCCCCCACTTGTAAAATTCCTTATACCAACCCATCAAAGAGGCCCCAGTACCCAATTATACAACAGGAGGAATTCTATCGCTGCCTCAACGATATAGTGGCGAGTACGGGTTGGATTGGGGTGCAGGTATGCCAGCCACCCTGACAGGCTAAGGAGGGGAATCAAATCTTGTCCAAACTAAGAGAGAGAAGTAGCTTGCTGGGGGGCTGAAGGGCATGCGCTCAAAGGGAAGGGTGGGCCCTAATGCTCGCCTCAGCCATACCACCAGTGGGCGTACAATAAACCCTACATTAACTGGTCTAGGTTTTCGCTTGTGCGCCTTTTAAAAGGACGATAGTTGATAGAGGGCATGTAGTAAATTCACACCATTTGTAAAACTGATAACTTACTAGAGCTAGACCATGAAATGTGACTTTGACAATTAGCATGGAGGTGTGTAGCTGAGACTGAGATGTGGGTGGAGATGTGGGAGAAAGTTGGTGTAAATTGAGCAGAGTTGTTGGTTTTGTGCTGTTTCTCCAATAACCACTCCTTGTATGGAGACATGTGTGTGCTAGGTTGACTCTCTTCTCCTCTAGCCCCAGCTGTGGTTGATCCCGGAGAAGAAACTCGCAATGAGATCGAAGAAGACGAGTTCAGATTCTTCGAGTCTCGTTGCGAAGCATTCTCTGACACTGTCATGATAGAGCAGATTGATCTGGTGAGGAATTGAAGGAGGGGGAGCGGGTGAGGGGGAGCGGGTGAGGGGGCTGGGAGATGTGTACACAGCAAAGAGAAGTAGTACATAATTGTGAGATCGTGTCTCCACCAGTAAAGCAAGGGGGCATTGGTGTTGTAGGCTAATATGGTAAAATAGGACAAGGCATTGGGTTTAATGTGAATGTTGACATGGAATCTGTGTTGTGTAGGTTGGGCAGTGTTCGCTGTATGCGTCGTGGTCGGTCCAGAATCCAGGTCCCCTGGATCCACTCCAGACTGTGGTACGGAATGAAGACCGGACCAGGAGCCGTCGCTCCCTCCACCTCACTCTTCCCCAAGACCAAGACAGGGTGAGTGACGGCCATTTTTGTCAGTTTGTTCAACCACACTAATGAAAACAGGTAATCTCCCAACCTCGTTAGTGACGTGCTCTATGAATAGATAGTTGATGTCACACAAAGCCAAACTCACTGTCGGTATGGCCTTACTATAGAGCAGGGTCAACCCCCTAACATGGTAGCCAGCTGAATAACATCACGCAATGGTACAGACTTTACGGCACTAGCAGGCAGGGATCATGGAGGGCAGAGTCAGGCTTTTAGGCTCTATATGGGACACTACCACCAGCCTTGCATCCACCTTTGTACCTATCACCGTTGATTAACATTCCACCTGGACAGGATGGGGTTTTGGTAGTTCGTGTTTGTGCAGAGGCATTTGGGAGATTATGAAGCCATCCAGTTGCAGTAGCTCTAAGGCACATTAGAGGCAAAGTTGGGCTGCATATTAGGACATGTCCACTGAGTGTTGTTCCAACAACCACCCCACTGGCTGGTATCTATCAGGGCAACTGACAGCTACCACAACCCAGGCAGCTTGACAGAGGTTGTGGTAGGGACCTGATCAAAGATTGATCAAAAAGCGATCAAAAGTAAATCAAAAGCACTGTACCTCACCCACTCTCTCTCCCACTTCTGCATCCTACATCCAATGGTCACCCATTCATCTCTCTCCCAGTGTTTCAAAATCCAGCGATATTTAGCCTCTGCTTATTTGACCACAGAACTCATCACACTCCCCATAGATAGATTACCATGCCCCCTATAATCATCCTATGTCGCCATAAATTAGTACACACCCCCTTATGATGTCGCCATAAATTAGTACACACCCCCTTATGTGTTCCGTAAGCACCTCAGCACAGTTAGCAAACACTCCAATTGATTTAGAGGCAAACTCAATACTCGGTGCACACGTTATGGTTTGACCACTGTGCAGGTGCCAAACTGCGTCCACGAGTTTCCTAACATTATCTTCTACTGTTTAGTGAGAAATGTTGGCGGGGGAATTTTCAGTCCATTTCGCTATCTTCAAAAGTTACTGTAATATGCACTTGGATTTTCTACCAATTTGTGAAGGATTTACTCCTTGAATTCTATTGCATAATTATGTATCTGATTCTCCCACTGTCTCTTCAGTTTGTGTATGTGTCAGTGAGAGGCAGACGACCACGGAACGAGTTCTCCATCGTGATCTGGGACATGATCTTCCAACAGGACGAGTACACCATCACAGTTCTGGACGCCGGTGACACCACGGGGCAACCCATCATCAACCTGGTCGACCAGATTCGCGATACCACCACTGCCATGTACGTTACTACAGCAAAAACAGGGCAATGTCCAATCCAACATTTGAGGGCAAATGAGAGCTCCCAAGCACACTATTTTCGCATGTATTCTACATAGAATTTTACAGACAGCTATTACTCCCTATACAGTTATGGGAGTACAGCAAATATGTGCTGTACACTCGACCTTGGCAGTACAGCAGCAGCCTTGGGTCCATAGCTCCTTGGCAGTACAGCAGCAGCCTTGGGTCCATAGCTCCTTGGCAGTACAGCAGCAGCCTTGGGTCCATAGCTCCTTGAGAGAGTGATTGATACCTGTTCATTTGATTTCTACTCAGGTTCAGTTTCCAGATTACGAGTGGGAATGAAGAAGGACTGTTTTCACTGGACTCAGAGTCTGGGATTCTGACAGTTGCAGCCCCTCCCCCCCTCGGGTCCTTCCCTCTCAATATCGTCGCTCAGAATACTGAACACTCCTGCCACAGGGCAAAGGTCATCGTCAACGTCGTCGTATTGGTGGAAACCCTACAATTCCAACCTTTCCCGCAGCCGGTAACGGTCTCCGAGGCAACGGAGCAGGGTACCATGGTAACACAGGTAACAGCCACCTCTTCAAGCGGCAATCCTCTGACATATTCAATAACAGCAGGGGACCCTCTTAATCAATTCTTTATCAACCCAATGACTGGAGAACTGTCCGTGGAGAGTCCCCTCAATTTCGAGGAGACTAACGAGTATTCCCTGACTGTACAGGCACAAGGGAGTAGCTCTGCAGTCGTCATGGCAATACAAGTCGTCCAGGTGACGGATGTTAACGAGCCACCGGAATTCGTAACGGAATGTGCAGTTGCTGGTAGTTGCGAGTTTTCTATCGCCGAGGGAGAACCCGCCAACGTGCCTGTTGGGAGGATAGAGGCAGCTGATCCTGACATCAGAAATCCAGAATTTTCCGTGTTGACGTATGGGCTGGAGTCCCAAACCCCCGTTCCGTTCCAAATATCTAACATGGGGGAAATAACCACCACCGAAACGCTCGATTTCGAAACCACTTCCTCGTACACGTTTACCGTCTTTGTGGAATACTCGGGGAATCCCCTGTCGCCAAGGATACAAACACAGGTGATGGTAAACGTTGAAAACGTGGCCGAAAATGCTCCGCCTGTCTTTCCCAGTGATTGCTCGCTCTCTGTGATAGAGAACGGCATTGGTGTTGGAGATCCCATTATCAACTGCCAGGCCTCTGACCCTGACCACCCAGCCGATCAGATCATTTACGAAATAGTTGGAGGGAACGTCGAGAACACGTTTAGATTCGATCCTTCGATGGGGCAAGGTATTCTGGTGTTGAATAGAAATCTCGACAGAGAGGAGGTCCCGCTGTACACACTGACGCTCCGGGCCACCGACCCTGCTGGGTTGTCGACGATGACAACATTTGATGTCACAGTTCAAGACGAGAACGATTCTCCGCCGGCCTGCACTGCACCCTCGTCACCAGTCATCACCTCTCTCCCTGGCTCTGGAGACACCATCGCTACTTTCACAGCACCGGACCCTGATACTGACCCAGCCGCTCCAATTTTTTCCATCACATCGCAGGAAATAGCGGAAGATTTTCTCAGTGCGACCTTAACTGTCACGGCAACTGACGGCGAAATCTCCACTCTCTCATCCTCCTGCTCTCTCACAGTTCAATTTGAGGATATTTGTGAGCTGCAGATGTATTCTATAGATTCCACGACGGGGCAACTGACAGCGTCCTTGCTCTGCAATGCGTTCATGGACCCGGGTCCAGAGGTGGCAATCATATTTGACAGAAATCGCCGGTTTACTTGCGAGGTCTCTGCAAACGTCCCGACGCAGCACGAGTTCTTTCACAACGAGACGATAGGATTAACGGGGTTGATTGAAACACCGCTAATCCTCCGCGACGTGCGATTTGACAATTCTGGAGACTACACTTGTCGCGTTACCAACACAGAATTAGGGATGATCATCAGCTCACCTACCACTGTCAGCATCCAGAGTACGTCACACAAAATGTGTTTACATTTTTAGCTCATTTCAAGCTTGTTCACAAGTAACAGTAGGCGTTGCAAATTGCTGTGTAATGTTGAACCCAGAACTATAATATACTAGCACGAAGCATATTCATATGATTTTAAAATGTTCTTCTTTTCATAGTCGGTCCGTCGATTGTGACTCCTCCCATGGATGTTACCGAGATGGTTGGTCAGCCGGCTGTGTTTGAATGTGTCGTCTTTGGAGTTCCTGAACCGACCATCACATGGCTGGGGTAACCAGATCTTATGCACTGCTCTAAAATCTGTCATATTTAGCCCATATGAAGTTGTTTTGTGTGGTCTGATACGTATGTGATGTAGAGGATTTGTAAAGCAATAAATTCTAAGGAGAGTATATAAATAAGTAAGCTCTGTATGCTATATAGTTCTCCCTCCTTTCCACCTTTGTTATTCTACAACATTGGCCACTACTTTCTCTCTCACAGGCCAGACAGTCAAAGTGAGGTGGACACCACGGACACGAGGATCCAGCCCTCGGGTGCTACTCTCACCATTACCAGTGTGCAGGCCAGCGACACTGGAGAGTACGTCTGTTCAGCCACCAACGAACTAGACTCGGCCTCGGCTGCTGCTACACTGACTGTCTCCCGTGAGTTGAGATGATTGATTCACGGACAACTCACACTTCTCCCTCTCCTCCTTCCCTCAGAGATGCAGCAGTTAGTGAGGGCTGAGGTCCCACAGTACCTGCTACCCTCACCTGACGACTCGTGCCATGAATTCAACTCCTCTCATTTTAATGTCAGCGAAAAACCACCCACAGAAAATCCTAGGGAGAAAATATCCGTGTTTTTTGAAAATCCTATCCCCCTCAACTCTTGAATTTTTTTCCAAACATCTCTACTACATGAAAACCTCATCCATCCATTCCTTGTCCACAGGAGCTCCTAACTACCATCACTGGTCACAAAACACTCACAACACAGCAGGAATCCGGTGACCTTTGTCCTCCATCCCCCTGTAACCCCGCCCCCTGTCAAAACGGGGGAACCTGCGTGGAAGACAACCTCGCGACCCCCGGGGGTTTCTACTGCCAGTGTCCCCCTCAGTTCACAGGACACACATGTGGAGACGTCATCGACCCCTGCATCAGAAGTAAGCCAATAGCTTCATTCCCACAGCTGACAACAGATTTAGGATGAACATGAAGAATTGCGTTTTGGCCAGAATGTGGATTGCAAGATTTAGAAGAAGCCTATATTCCTGAAAGAATTAGCTGTTTACTGCTAAAATTACCAAAATGATGTGTAGCACCGTTTTGTTTTCTTGAACAGCTCCTTGTCGAAACGGCAGCCTGTGTGCAAGTAATTCTCGCGGAGAATTCATCTGCACTTGTACCGATGATTACCATGGCGACCGCTGTCAGTACACTGACGTGTGCTCGAGAAGCTCCGCCCCTTGCCAACCGAACGAGACATGCCTGGAGACGGTCGTGAGGAGAGAGGGGTATGTGTGTCTTGGTGGAGAGGGGGAGGGAGGAGGGAGTGAGGAAGGACTGACAGTGACTGTCGAACAGAGTGGCACTTTAGTCTCAACGCTTGACGGACAAGTCAACCTGTACATTGAAGTAAGTGTTGTACCTTGAGTGAGTAGTTGATTTGACAATGACTTTTAACCCTTTTTCAGACTGCAGAAGACGTTAGAAGGCGAAGAGCAGCTTCGACCGATGAAGAAATCATGGAAGAAAACGGTTTTGTGAACGTATGTGAGGGTCGGTTTGTCTCCTCACCTGACACCCTCCGACTGGTGTGGGCGTGTCCAGTGGGTGTGGCTCCACCAGGCAGGGATGACGAGGAAGCCATATGTGTTCTCCTGATTGAGCAACGGCTGGTGATCAGCTGCTCGTCTTCTCAGGGAGGGACCCTGGTACTTCAACCCATCGTCCCCCTCCCCCCTACCAGGTGAGTGAGTATGAGCTAAAACCTCAGGTTTACCTTATTCCTTTCTCTAAGGTCTAACAGCAGTAGTTTATAGAGCCAAGCAAATAATTATTATCTCTCTTCTTCTCTTCTTCATTTAGTGTCAACATCACGTTTATTCTCATCGATCGGTCCACCGGTCATCCTCTGAGTGCAGTCGACGTTCTGGCCATTCTCGAGGGAACCAATGCCAAAGACAAGCTGAACAACACAATCTACAGAACTGAACAGTTTTCCGCTGTCGCCCCTTCAGATGACAGCTCACCATCACGTTAGTTTACCTGTTTTTTTTCTTGTTTTTTTCTTTCCGTCTTTACTTTCTACTGAATAAGAGACACCTTTGTTCAGGGGTATCTTTTTGCAGTGGCAATAGTACATTACAGAGAGGCATATACAAGACAATTTTCTGTCCCAGTGTCCTTGTTAACTCCCTCTCCTCTATTTCGCCTCCACAGCTGACAGAAGCGGAGTTGTGATCGGAGCTGTACTCGGAACATTGTCAGCTCTCATCATAATATCTGTTGTTGTGATTATAACACTTCTCATCCTCAAACACCAACGAAGAGATAAAACGTCAGTGATGCACTTTTTTTAATCGTTTTTTCATTTCCCCGATTGTTCATCCCCAGGATGACAATAGAGCAGACATACCAGGGGAATGGGAATGGGACCCGAGACTCGACCTCGTTCTCAAACCACTATACCCAGGTTCCGCAGAAGGAGAACGGACCGCGGAAGCCACTGACGCTGCTCACACTCCAACTCCCCACCGGGAACAGACAGTCAATGTTCGACGATCCCGTGTACGATGCCGGGCTCAGTTCTTCAGGTAACTCGTATCATCCTCCAGTCACACAGCGGAGGAGTTTTGAGAAAGGCATGAGATCTTCACTGGAGCGAGGCATGAAGGTATGTATATATACAGTGCAACCTCTGAATAAGGGACACCTTGTATTAGTATGGGGCAGAACCAGGTGTGTTTTAATGAACTCATGTCTAATGGCCCTATGATCCTTCTCCCCCACAGATGATACGGAGCAAGGTGCCAAGCATGAAACGCAGCGATTCAGCCTCTGGCCTCCTCAGCCCGCCGGCTCTGGAAGACAGCGGAGACTACGATGACATTGTTACGTTGGCCACGCCCCCTCATGTGACCACACCCTCAATTAATAACGGGGACCCAGAGAACGAGAGTATCTATGCCAACACAGCTCATCACCATGGCGGCGCCATGGGCAACGCAGGCCAGCGGTGGGAGTCGTACCAACAAAACAGAACGCTCCTCAGAACTGACCAAAAATGACATCATCGTTGCATCATATCTGTGTTTCCACGACAACTGAACAATCGGTCGCCCAGCAACATACACAGAACATACATAACGTGTGTTACCAATGTTTGATAGCCTATTTTTTTCAATCACTTCAAAATATAATTCAATCCAGCTGGCTGGAATGACAACATGAAAAGATGTAATTTCCGCAAAACACACATGTACTTTTATTAATTCACCTTTAACTTGAGAGGCAGAGAGAGTGTGTGTGTATGTGGTAAGAGAGAGAGAGAGAGAAGTTAGGAGAAGAAAAGTCTAATCAACTGGTGTGGGGAGGAGGGAGATAGGGTCAGAGGACATGTTCCGTGACCTTCAACATGACGAGCAATGCAATCGTAACAGAAAACAAACCTGTGGAGGAAACAGGTTTGGCCGGTTTTTAAGTCGGGAAAAATAATGTACGTATTCAAGCAAGAGACACTAGGATTGCATGGTGTGGTCGTTGGTGGATCGCAGCTCACCCTGAGGTAGCAAGGGTTGTGGGGTCTCGTCTAGTCTGGTGACACAGTGGACAAGTGAAGGGATCTGTTAGCACTGGTGGAGTTGGCTGTGAGGAGAGAGAGAGAGGAAGCAGCGATCAAACAAGACAGGGATAGGGGCGAGATAAGGCGAGATAGGAGCAGGAGATAAGAATAGGGACAGCGAGATAAGGTATAGAGAGAGAGAGACCTGTGTGGGTAGTGGAGGAGGAGGGACAGGTAGAGAGTTCATTCTGCGAACAGCTGCCTCGTTCTCTCCAGAGTACCACCACTGCAGGAGTCTCAGGGAGAAGAGAGAAAGAGAGAGCAACTGCTTACTGGCCCACGACCACACCCATCTTGACGGCACATCATCCTGGAGTAAAACATCCACTCGTAGCACAGTAAAAAAAGTTGGAGGTAATAATGTATTAGTATGGGGCAGAACCAAGTAGAGAGGTGTCCTTTATTCAGAGGTTTTTTCAGACTATTTTCTCCCACAAAACTTTCCTACCAAAAAATTTTTGTTTTTCACTTACGTCAGTTGCTTGATAATGTACCAACTTCACTCCTGCAAGAAATCCATAATGTGCGAGAAGCAAAGAGGGGAAAGATTGACAAACCGGCCAGCCAGTGCAAAGGGGAATAGTGGGGTGAGCTACGAATCAGGTAGTTCAGTCGAAACACAAGGTGGCACAGCTGGTCAGAGCAACAAAAACACTTTACAACACTTGGCTACATTTATGACGACACCGCCTGATTCTAATATTATACCAAAGCTATGTACAATGCACAGTGACCGCCAAATGCAGCAAAACTTTGCCAGTATTATGATACATACTTACAGTCCATAGAGACTGTAGGTAGGGGATAGATTTGAACAACAGTAGTTTCAAGAGCTGTGTAGGGGTTCGGCAATCCTGCCACGCCCACATTCCGAGTGTTTCATTCTCGTCCGTCAGTACGGAATGGAGACGCTCAACTTTCACCTTCAGGTACGGAACTAGAACCTGCAGACGGTGGTCGGCTAACGTCTGTAAAACGACGGCGTATACCTACTTACTAAACAGACAAAGGAGACGGTCATTTGCTTTGTGCTAAGTCCTGCTCCCGCACCCCATTGAACTCTCTTTATACCATAGAAGTGCTCTGAAAATGAGCTGTCTACATGAAATAGACAGACAGATGTGTAAATGTCTTGTCAAGTGGAGGAGAAGCCCAACCGTTTAGCGTGAGAAAAATCCACTGAAGGGCGGAGTCTAGCATTAGGTGGACCTCGTCACGTGATCTCCACAGCCCGGAGAAGAACAGCTCGGGTCTTGAACGGGCCAGCACCTGCGAAGGCGTAGAGCAGAGAAGCGAGTGTGCTGTCACCGGCTGGCTCGGCGCTGTATAGACTGTGAGTAACCTTGGTAAGGTAGAGAAGTGCGGGGCGGAGCGCTTCTCGCAGTTGCTCTTCTGCAAGCAGCTCGAAAACGTTGGGCCTCTCATCCGTAAGAATGGCTTCATTGAATGCCATGGCAGCCACACCAGGCAGAAACTGCGTTATAGTAAGATATTGTATGAAGCTACCATAATTTATGCTACAACGTGGTCCCGAGCATGCGCGCGGAGGTAGGCGGGGTCTGAATTATGGGCACTAAATAGAGAAAGTCAGGAAAGAGTGATTTTGTTGTTGTACTGCCATGCCTACTGTGTCTGATATAATACATAACACAATACAGGAAGAGACATACAGGTTGTATATGTATGATACAAGTACACTGTCACTTATTAGAAACACACACTAGGAAAGACTTGTAGACTAAAAGTTCTAGTTTTGTGGGCATAATCCAGAAGTGAGCAAACTGGAATCATCTGAACGTAGTGGGAAGTTTAGACAAAGCAGATTTCTCCTTCCGTTCCCACAGTGAATGGTACTTCGGTTGTGACGGTTTGCTGGGGGGGAAGCATGTGTCATGTGAGCGTCTTGTGATAGTCACATGACTTACTCGGCACTTGTCTACAGTGGTGTGCAGTGAGTCGTCCTTGCTTGACTTCTCCTCACTGCAATCGTTGATAGTTTGTATGATTTTTTGGCTGTGCATGCTCAACGACCAGATTTGGTACCGAACTGGTTGCTGTGGGGGTAAAATGCAAAAATAGAGAAGGTCATCTTAGTGGAAGACTTTGTGGTGTTACTAAATCCTCACATCAGGGTCTTCTGGATTTAGGCATGTTGACCATTGGCTGGCAATCTGTCTGCAAGTTACCTTGATAGCATCCTCAACTTTACCACCGTTGGGATCGATGTAATGCTGGGTATCTGCACAATGCAATTGAAAAAAGACAGCAGTAAAATCTTGCTAGTAAAAATTTAGCGGCATCCCCGACAAATTTATATAGTAGTGAGGAAGAAGGGAGGTGAAGGAGAGTCTCACTGTTTTTAAGCTTGTGATCAAGATGGAGGTCGTAGCAGGAGACAGCTGGGTTGTCCGATGAGCCGTAGGTGGCCCTCTCGTCCCCTGGTTGTCCGATGTAAAAGTGCTTCCCAGAGGAGCTGACTGTGCAGCCGGTACAATATCCAGGAGGACCCTGTGTGCAAGAGGTTCGGTGAGACGTGACGGTTCAACCAAACAGAGGTGTGATCTTACGGCGTCTCCTTGTGGTCCTGCGGGTCCAGGGTGTCCCTTGTCACCGGAGCGACCATCAGCTCCCTGTTGGCCTGCTGGACCTGGTGGGCCGTTAGCTCCTGGGAGACCATCGTTCCCAGGGGGACCGGGGGGACCTTGTTGACCCTGGAGGTATAATAGAGAGACAACCAAACCAGTTTCAATGGGAAGTGTTTAAAAAGTCGGTAGTACAGACATGAAGCAAGAGGAAGGGTAAAGTGATAGATGCAGCCAAGAGAAGAGGGATATGGGATAGCCCACCCTTGCTCCGTTGGTGCCGTGGGGACCTGAAGGACCGCGGGGGCCGACTGCTCCATGTGAGCCAGGTGGACCCTTGACACCCTGAGCTCCTGTGAACCCCTTGTCTCCCTTTGGTCCAGCTGGGCCTTTTTAGGGAAAGAGGCATATACATACATACCTCACGTGTACCCCGCATCCCTATAAACTGGTTTTGAACCGGTTTTTCTCGCTCACCAGCAGGTCCAGTGGGTCCTTCTCGTCCGGTTGATCCAACTCTGCCCTCCTCTCCCCTGTCTCCCTTTTGTCCCTCAACGCCACGTTCTCCCTGTCAGCCGACCGAAAAACGAAGCGCGACTGTTTTAGAGAGAGGGGGTTTGCAGTGTGTGAGAGAGGACTCACCTGATCTCCAGGTCGTCCAGCTGGTCCGGGTGCTCCCACTGAGCCAGCAGCACCCTAATTGGAGAGGAGTAAACGGCACTGTCAAATTTTACTGCATTGGATGTCTAGAAAACTACAGGTGAAACCTTCAAAAAAGGACCCATGAAATATAGGACACCTGCAAAAAGACAACACTTGGTTCTACACACATCAATAATGAAGGGATGCCTCTCGGATGTGTCCTGTATTTTGCTAGAGGCTTGCGTTGTGCGTCAAAAATGTCCACTATTTTGAATTTTTTAAAATTTAGTGTTGCCTTACTGGGTGTCCTGGGGGTCCAGCTGGTCCGCTGGGACCTCCTGGCCCTGCGTCTCCCTGAGGGCCCTGTACTCCTTGTGGTCCTGAATCTCCATTGTCTCCTGGTGTTCCCTGTCATTGGCAACAAACACACAAGTCTCCACCACACCTAGTCAAACCGTGGGCTTAGCTGGTGTTCTTACACACTGATCTTGCGTATGTTAACAATAATAATAGTAGGGTTGATGCAATGAATTGAACTGCTATGCCAGACAAGAGCTGACACTCTACTGAGTATCAATACACATTATACCCAAAGTCAAGAATGTGGACATCAGTGCTAGCAGGATTTTTATCAACTCACGTCATTTCCATTGCGTCCTGGCATTCCAGGTGTCCCCATTGGTCCCTGTACTCCCTGTTGGCAATAGTGGAAGAGAAAAGCTTCACCAAATTTTCAGTTCGACGGTTGCTGCTGTGCCTTACCGAAGCTCCTTTTTGGCCAGGTCCTCCGTCATCTCCGTTTGCACCAGTTTGTCCAGGGGGTCCAGTACCTCCTGGTCCACCGGTGCCTCCCCTGTCTCCAGGTCGACCCTGTAGCGCAGTGTTGCCAGGTGTGAGGCTCGTGCACGAGGTAGGGACAGAGGGGGAGGAGGGTTTGACTTACGGGAGCACCGTCGTTTCCGGGGGTGCCGACTGGTCCACGGGGACCTGCATCTCCATCATCTCCCTGCACACCAGGGTCTCCTCTGTCTCCCTTCGGGCCTTGAGTACCCTGCACCAAGTACACGAGAGAGAAAGGGTTAAACATCTTTTTAGATTTCACTTCTGCATAAGGGCTCAGAGGGTGGGATAATTATGTAGTGTGGCAATGGATAACAAGTAAGCTACATATCACAATTGTCTCCCAAGCCCATTAATATGTGGATAGTTTGGGATGATAGCGTTTGTTTGTCAGTAGGTGTATGACGTCGCTTACAGGTCCTCCGGGGCCACCACGCATTCCAGTTGGCCCAGGTTCTCCAGGGTCACCGCCGTCACCCTCTGATCCAGGCTGTCCAGGTCCTCCATTCGATCCCGGGGGACCCTGTAATATTGTCACCATCAACTCAAACAAGGCACCAATGGGTGCATGTATGTAGCCAGCAAGGTTTCGAGTTTAGAGTTGGCAGTGAACTATTTTACAACTGGGTAATCTCTGCAAAATGTTTGCAAAGTGTGAGACAATCACTTATCTCATTGCGAGTGTGTACATACGTATGTACCTGTCCTCCTTGGAGACCAGGTTGTCCAGGCTGTCCAGGTGCCCCAGTTTGACCACCTCCTCCAGGTGGTCCGGGTTGTCCACCGTCTCCCTTTGGCCCTCCACTGCCGTTATCTCCCTGAGTATGTACAAATGCAGTCAATAGTGATGATGAAGGAACTGCTATACTGAAGTAAATATTTTCCCCGCACAAACACACGTGTAATGGCAAGTGTTTAGCACCTCGCTCAGGTTAAGATTAACTGAGTTTTCAATTTGAGTGCAGATACTACTGGCTACTACGTACGGGGGGTCCTTGCAGGCCGTTGTTGCCAGGACGTCCATTCTCTCCAGGATCACCTCTGTCTCCACGCGGTCCAGCAACTCCAGGCTCTCCCTCCGGGCCCTGGAAACCGGGGGCTCCTGGGAGTCCGGAGACACCTGGTGGACCGACGGGACCGCCGGGGCCTGGTTCTCCCATGGGGCCTCTGTCTCCTGCCTCTCCATCGTCCCCTGGTCGGCCGTTCTCTCCGGGGGGACCCTCGATTCCTGGGGGTCCGGAGGGGCCTGCGGAGCCTGGGTCGCCCTGTGCTCCTTGTGGTCCACTGGGGCCTTGTGGTCCCTATTTGTGTGCATACAAACAAGCTTCTGAGCTTACGTCACCATCATAGCAGTTTTTTTCGACTCGATGTTCTCATCGTTCTACTGAAGTTTTGCTATAGCATACGGGTGCATGAAGATAATTATTAGACCATGTGATGCCAAGAGAAAAAAACAGCACACCACACCGTAACCTCTCTTTGGCATCACGCATGCACGCTTAGGGACCAATATCACAATCCTTTTTACTACCTTGAGAAGGCCTGCAAGAGGTATATAGCAGACAACTTTATCGCATAGTGTAAAGTGTCAGCAGGAAAGGTATAGAACCCAACAACTTGTGGAGATTTGGTGGATATGTAAAGAGAATTAGTGCCTATTATGAAGGCCTTTGTGTGTGTGCTGCTAACAAACACTGGTTGATAACTTTGATGACTCACTGGCAGTCCTTGACCACCTGGTGCCCCTCCGGGACCAGCCTCTCCAGGTAAACCCTATTAACGAAGGCAATTTGAAGAAGTTTTGTGATGTAAAGTGCCTTACGGATGGTCCGGGAATGCCAGGTGGTCCCTCTCGCCCATCAGATCCTGGGTTACCCTGCACAACATTAATTTTGTGGTAAATTGTGACTTGAACAAAAAGCGGGTAAGACCAGGAAGAAAGAGAGGGAGAGACGAGAAGCGGTCTCACATCTTTTCCATCATCTCCTGGTGGACCACGTTCTCCGGCACCTCCTTGAGGGCCCTGGGAAGGAGATCAGAGGGTGTGCAGTGGGATGCAGAACTATAAGTCGTTAGTCTCCTGTGGCTGTCTTACCGGCTCTCCTTGTGCTCCGGCATCTCCTGGTCCTCCTGGAGGTCCACGTCCACCGTTGTCTCCTGGTGAGCCTCCTTGTCCCGGTGGGCCCTGGGATGTCCAAAATCAAGTCAGTCTTCATAACACAATACGGATAACCCCCAGAACAGAGGTAACTGGTGAATAAAGATATCTGTGGCAGGGTTTATGTGCTTAAAATACTTAAGCTTTGGATAACTCCCATGGAAGTGACGTAATGATTATACAGTGTTTAGTTTCACTTGATGCTTAATTCATGAGGTGTTTCAGCATAATGTTATGGGCAATTCTTGTGAGTGGGAAGTGCACGATCTTACGAGATCTCCCTGGGGTCCTGGTGGGCCGTTGGTGCCTGGCAAGCCTGGTCTTCCCTGGACGGATGGACGAGGTATAACACTCAATGTCTTCAACATTCCACACTGTCATTGGCTTCAATTTCGGTTACCAGTGCAGCTTTATGCACAATGATCAAAAGTTTAGTGAAACTGGGCATGCTAGCTACCAAGATCAGTTTTTGTGACTCACTGGAATGCCAGCTGGGCCGGATGGGCCAGCCTCTCCTTGTGGTCCTCCGGGGCCCTTTAGAGAGATGCATATACATCATGTGAAGCGCAGTCACAATTCAGAGGAGGGAGACATGAGCGAGCGAGCGAGCGAGAGAGAGAGAGAGAGAGAGAGAGAGAGAGATAGAAAGAAGAGAGAGAGAGAGACGCCTTACTGACCGAGTCACCAGGATCTCCTTTGTCTCCAGATGGTCCTCCTGGTCCTGGTACTCCCTGCAGTGACACAGAGAACACACAGAGTGGTTCATACAGGCTGAGAGCGAAATGTAGGAGTTCTAATAATATGGGTTTATACAGTCTGTAAGCGGACAATAGGGAGTTTTACGCAGTTAATGAGCGGAATAGGGAAGTTCAGTGCAGTTCTAATGTGGTTTATACAGTCAGCGAGCTGAATAGGGGAGCTATAGTCTCACCTGTCCTCCTCCTTCTCCCGGGGTTCCACGATCTCCTCTCTCTCCTGGTGGTCCAGGGGGACCTCCTGGGCCCTGGAGTCCCTGTGGGCCTACTGCACCTCTCTCTCCCTGTGGTGAGAGAGTAGATTGAGAGGAGGAAACAGTGATAACTACAGTAGATGCCCTTTTTATTTTGGGTGACAGATATTGTCAGAAAATGAAGTGACTCTGGGGGAAGTGAGTGGCATTTTGTAAACTGCTGAATTCACAGCAAGTGTGTGGGTGTGAGAGCAAAAACGAAGAAACTTGTAGGGATAGAAAGAGACGAAGTGCAATATTGACTCACTGAGAGTCCTGGTGCTCCTGGCGTTCCATCGCGTCCTGGTACACCGGAATCTCCGTCTTGTCCATTGCGTCCAGGCAATCCGTCTCCTCCGCGCTCGCCACGTGCTCCCGGAGGGCCTGCTCCTCCAGACTCTCCTGCCGATCCCTGCATAAATCAATGAACCACCGTCTGGTGACCGAGTTGGTGTGCAGAGAGCGGCACTCACTCTTGATCCCGCAGACCCCCGTGCACCAGCCTCGCCTGGTGATCCAGCTTCTCCCTGCTTGCCCGGCAGTCCGGGAATACCATTGAATCCTCTGTTACCAGGAGTACCCTGTGTGTAATCAAGGCGAGAGGATAGATAAACTTTGTCTGACTTTTACAAATCTTCTAGTCATGGAAGAGAAATTATTGTGACTTGAATTAGTTCACATGTACATACAGAGGGTTCTAAAGCAATCAGAAGGGGTTAAATGATGGTTGTGGGAGTGCGGGAAGAGACTCACGCGAGGTCCAGCTGGTCCTCTCTCTCCACGCGTTCCTTCTCGTCCAGGTCTTCCTCTCTTCCCTGGGTTTCCGTCTTGTCCGGGTACTCCACCAGTACCTGGAGCTCCCATAGGTCCGGGGTCGCCAGATGGTCCGGGCGAGCCTGGGAAAGACAAGCAAGCACAGAGGACAATGTGTAAGAGTTTGGGTTATAGCTACTAGCATCATTGGTGAACCGTTAGTTTTCAACATAACTGTGTTGCAAATCATGCCCATTAGATTAAGTTTTAAAGTGAGGTCATTTGTGAGAGGTAATAAATAAAATCAGCATGCGAGATAATCGCTAGCTGAGTCAGGAAACAGATAACAACGAGGAGTATTAATTACCACTGTTTCCTGGTGCTCCGCTGTCTCCAGCTGGTCCAGGAGGTCCAGTGGGTCCGGGGCTGCCCTGTGCGCCAGGTGGGCCTGTCAGTCCGGTTGGTCCAGTCGGTCCGGTTTGCCCCTGCACCGGGAAGAACATTCATTGGCTGCAAGAGACAACAGACAGTGGAATCACTGACTGGTGCTCCAGAAGATCCACCTGGGCCTACACTTCCAGTATTTCCCTGCAAAGACACAGAATACAATAAACAATTGATGCAACAAATTTGACGCAACTAACTCTTACCTGAACCAGGCCTGTGCGTTTTTGGAACATGTTATACATCATGCTTTGAGCGTCATGTGACAATCATGTGACTCACAGTTGGTCCACGGTCTCCGTCTCTGCCAGGTTCTCCGCCATCTCCCTTTTGTCCTATTTCTCCTGTGTTACCAGGGTCTCCTGGTCCCCCATCTGTTCCCTTCGCCCCTCCTCTTCCTGGTACTCCAGGGACTCCGTCCTTGCCTCTCGGTCCAGCCGGTCCTACACGTGTTATAGGAGACCATTATGAGCAACTCTTGAACTGTGCGCCAATATTGAAGGCAAGAGTTTGTAAGTGTTAGAGACCTGGTTCTCCTCTGTGTCCATCAGCTCCATCACGGCCATCGCTTCCTTGAGGTCCTGACACTCCGCGCTCTCCTCTTTGGCCAGATGGTCCCTGCAATTATTACAGTGAAACCTCTCTATGGGACTGACGAAAGTGTCCATTAGTGAAGTGTTCTGGGATTGCAAAACTTTTATAAATTTAGAGATGGTGTCCGCGTTTCCAAGAGTGGTTTTATATATACTACTGTATATACTTCCAATCTATTATGGAGGAGCTAACAGGTATGCCAGGTGCTCCTGGTGCACCGGGGTCTCCTGCTGGTCCCTTTGCTCCTGGTTCTCCTCTCTCTCCGTCTCTACCAGCTGTCCCGGGGTCTCCTCCTGGCCCCTTGATTCCAGATGGTCCTGGTGCTCCTTGGCCTCCTGTTGGTCCCTGCAAGTGAGGGAGTGACACGGAGACGGAGAAGGGTGTGTGTGTGTGTGTTTGGTGGGGGAGGGGAGAATAGGGAGGAGTGAGAGAGAAAGCTTGTCAATATGAATTTGGTCCACTGGGTTCTTTACAGGTGGGCCTGATGTTCCAGGCAGTCCATTCTTTCCATCAGAACCGTCTTGTCCCTGCACACAGTCGACAATCGATTCGGTTTCTATAACTGTCATTGCAACTAGTATGTTAGCTACTAACAGTGTTTCCAGGGGAACCAGGAGAGCCAGGGGGACCTCTTGGACCAGTTGGTCCCTGCAGGTGAGAAGGAAACTTGTAGCTGTTAAGGAATCAAAGAATGGTTTGGATTTACCTGAGCACCTCGGCTTCCTGGTGGGCCAACTCTGCCTTCTTGACCTCTGGGCCCCTGGAAAAAATTATGCCACCTTCTCTCATTGTTGTTGTACGTGGTGTACTACACTCACAGAGTTTCCTGGTGGGCCAGGTGGTCCAGGTGGACCTGATGGTCCCTGTAATTATCACATGATAATCATGTGACTTCCTCGGGAGTGTGGGCTAACCTGTGGACCTGGTTCGCCAGCTCCCCCAGCACCACCGCCGGCTTTGTCACCACCCTGAGCAGCAGCAAGCCGATACAGTTATTAATTTTACACTCTGAATAAAGGAAACCTTGTGGACATAAAATGTTCATCAAAAATTCCCCTTATTGAAAGGTATTAGAACTAAGTGTCCTTCTCATTGTATTTATGTACAGTCAAACAGCACAGATATCTGTGTGGCTGCTTACGCAGGATCCACTGCATGTCCCTGCAGCTCCAGGGAGGCCAGGTGCACCCGTGGAACCCTTTTCGCCAGGCGGGCCTGCAGGGATCAGTTATTGTCAAATGTGTTCTGGTCTGCAGTTGCCACACTCACCTTGTGCTGTTGCGAGAGCCACTAGTGTTAATAATACTAGTAGCTTCATTTTGAACCTGAGCATAACAAAGAGCAATTGCAATTATTACCCAACTCCAAAGCCCACACTGAGTGGTCGATGTGTGGACCTAACTACCTATTATATAAGGCTTTCATACGAAATTTTCATCCATGCAGATATACGTATATAGCTACGCGTGCACTTTTTTCAATGCAATTATGCAGTAGCTATAGCAATGTGTGTGGATCGAAAATGTGCATGTTCCTACCTTCCACTTGCTTGCTGTCGCAGCAATTGGAGGATGAGAAGCTGGAGAGAGGGAGAGCAGGTGCTGAGCGTCTGTTCGCCCAATGCAGCCCAGCTGGGAGGCAACTAAGATAAGACTAAGCTGCTTTCCCGCAACACCGAGTCCGCACTAAGTGTAGGCAATGCCTCAATGGAAGAATGGTGGACTACGCCCGCGCGCACGCCCCACCCTCTCCTCTCTTTCCGGGTCTAGCGGGACGGAGAGACTTCATTGTGCTCAAAGCGGAGCCATTGTTTGATTTATGTGTGCATTGTTGTCCTTTCGCAGCATCTCGGTAAATATTATCTCACAGTGCGCGCGCCTCTTTTTGTTACCGTGTGGTGTTTGGTATAATTGACCGCGCCAATGTTGGGGAATCGGTATCGGGATCGGGAGAAGCGACGCCGAGAGCGGGATCAGACTTGGAGTTTTCACGGCTCCTGGAACGGTTTTCTAGCTTGTTGCCGCGCGCGCTGAGCTGCTAGGACAAAAGAGAAAGCGTTGCGCGCGGTGTTGGTAACAGCGCGCGCACGAAGATCTTCCTCGTGGTGCAGTAAATGTAGCTCTCCGCTCTCGATCCTCTGATCTTCGCTTTGAATTTCGCGGTTACCCCAGCGCGCGCAAATGCCGGCGCCTGCGCGTGTTGACGATTGACCGTTCGCCGCGCGCAGGGCCGCTCCTGCGCGAAGACACTTGCAGTAGTATAGTATGACTACCGGCGCCGCCGCCGCTGAGACCTTGCTGAGAAACAGACTATTTTCCGACTTAGACGATGGAGGATATGTCCCGGAAAACAAGAAAGAGGTGTTAGGGTAGGCAGCGTGCGCACGCGGAGGCGTCCATGCGCATGCGCTAGTTCGCGCGCCATATTTCAATTTTGCTCGATCCTCTCTCCAGGACAGTGCAGCAAGTGTTGGAGCGTACAATAGTAGAGAGCGAGGGGAACTCTCTCCTGATAATTGGGCCCCGGGGGTGCGGGAAAACATGGGTAAGATGCCACAATTATTTCAAGGCAGAGCATGAAATAATTATATTGCAGGTGATGGACAGCGTATTTCGTACCCTTCAAGGAGACAGACGATGCAAAGATAACTACATCAGAGTTTATTTGAATGGTCAGTGGCAGAAATCACTCAGCCCCAGAGATTCATAGCATAATTATCGCCATGCCTACAGGACTGGTACATACAGATGACAGACTGGCACTGCTCGAGATTGCCAGGCAACTCAATATTGACAGCGATAACGAAGAACATACATCAGTCAGTCTACAAATATCAGCTTTGCAATAAATTTCAACTTTTTCCCTCTAATGCAGATGTCATTTTCTGCAGCATTAGACTACCTGCTGGCAGCCCTAAGATCAGGTAAACTTCCCTGTTAATTTTTGAATTTCCCGCCCAATTGTTGCAGTTTTTGAATCTCCCGCTCTACAATTATGCACTAGCGCCAGTAGATAATGCCCCTCCAACACACTGGTCCCCAAACCTTGGATCTAGAACATGTGTTTCTAGAATTATGAGTCTGAGAATTGGACTGAGTCCATAAGCAGCCCTGGTGCTCAAATTGAATAGCTGTTGTAGTGGGCACCCACTGAGCCTTATTCATGGGGTGCCCTCCACAGGCGCTCTCTATAAAACAATGGTGGAGGTAGAGAAAGGCTTTTGTCTGGGGGGATAATATGCTCCCCCTGAAGTTGGTTTAGTGGCTATAGAGTACTACAGTTGTGGCCATGGAAACCTGGGGATATTCAACCGCAGTTATCATTGCCTAAAATACCTTCGCTCTTTTTGGTAACAATTTATGCTTGTGAGTTTTTTGCACTGCCCTAAACTGTCTTATTTCTTTCTCCCTATCTCTATTTCTCAGGATCTGGGGCCAACCAGAGCGTTATATTTGTGCTGGATGAATTCGATCTGTTTGCCAGCCACAAGAACCAGTCACTGCTGTACAATCTGCTGGACATTTCCCAGTCGTCTCACAACCCCATCGCGGTGGTCGGCCTCACTTGCAGACTGGTCAGCATAGTGTGAGAATGCACAGAGTAACAAAACCTCATCCACTGCACTCTCAAACACTGTAAGTGGCGAAGTTTGAGTTGGCAAAGATCTGAAACTCAAGGGTAAGACATGATTCCCACGTTCCAATGCCCCACACTTTTTGCTGTATGTACTCAGATAAGTTTTTGGTCATTGAGAAAAAACGTGTGTGTGTGTGTGTCTGTCTGTAATGGCCCGTGACTCACACACTGTTTATTAGGATGTTGTGGAGCTACTTGAGAAGAGAGTAAAGTCGAGGTTTTCTCACAGACAGCTGCTTCTCTTCCCCCACTCTGAGTTCCGTGACTACGCCACCCTCGCTCAGTCTCTCCTCAGTCTTCCCATCAACTTCAAACAGCGACAGTTTCGCCACGAATGGCAGAAAAACATACAGGTCCTGACTACTTCTTACCCTCCCCACCTCTCTTCCCCTGTCTTCTTTCTTCTCTGTGCTTTTGGCTGTTATTTCTCGCAGCCCTCGCCTCAATTTCTCTCTCTGCATGTTTGTGCCTCGTTTTGTTTTCTGCGCCATAGCCTAGAGGTCTTGCAATGCTCCCTCTCACCCTCTTCTCCCCTCCTGCCTCCACTCTATGTATGTGTGACTGGTTTTTTTTGTTTGCTGTGCAGAAGTTGCTGCAGAATGCGAAGGTTTTGCAGGCTCTACAGCAGCAGTTTAGACTATCTGCCGACGTCCGCAGCCTCAAGACTTTGCTAGTGAGAGACCTCATGTAACACATCGCAATACATATTTTTCTTTTTTTCCTTTTCTTTTCTCTTTTCTTTTTTCCTTCAGCTCCTGCCAGTGAGCCGACTGAGCCCTACACATCCGCAGCTCGCTCCCTCGGACTTTTCCCTCTCGCTGGAACTCATTCACAGGGACTCGTTAGGAGCCGTAATGAAGGGGCTGTCAGTGTTGGAGCTGTGTCTGCTTGTGGCAGTGAGGCAGATTTCTGAGCTCAGCTGTGGAGAGCCGTTCAACTTTGAAATGGTGTACTGTGGTAAGCAGTGGTCTTCGCTGTTGGTAACTCCTAGGTATGGTAACCATTCCATACTCCAACTTTAGTCGAAGCACTAAGGATAGTTGGGTCGTCTCTTTTTCCACTCGTGTGCCTACAGAAAATGCGAAATCGTTGACACCCTTATATAAGGGGAGACAGCCATATTATTTTGGGCAAGATAGGTGTATATAGCGAGATAGAAGACATTTCCATTCCATACTCCAACTTTAGTCAAAGCACTAAGGATAGTTGGGTCGTCTCTTTTTCCACTCGTGTGCCTACAGAAAATGCGAAATCGTTGACACCCTTATATAGGGGAGACAGCCAAATTTGGGCAAGATAGGGATAGGTGCAGCGAGATAGAAGACATTACCATTCCATACTCCAACTTTAGTCAAAGCACTAAGGATAGTTGGGTCGTCTCTTTTTCCACTCGATTTTTTTTTTATTTTCAGCCCCATCGACACGAACAGCGGCAATAACTTGTTACTGTTCACCAGATGCCTGCGTTTTGGGGTGAGCTACTCCATTCCGTATTCTTTGTGTTTCTAGAAACTGAACGTGGGAGCT